TATATATATAGGATTGGGTTCACGTAAGACCAAGAGTTTTTCGTGAGACCCGTAAGACCAATTTATGTTCATTGATCAACTTTATAGGTTAATAATCTAATGGTCTAAAGTTGCATGGTGACAATTTTGTGATTATTAAGAAGCCTCGTGACAATTTTATGATTATGAATGTTCAAATTGTAGATCTAACCCAATGGTTGAGAATTAGTTTTACGGGTCTCACGAAAAATCTTTGTTCTCACATGATCCCAAGTCTCTCTCTCTCTCTCTCTCTCTCTCTATATATATATATATATATATATATATAGACTTGGGATCATGTGAGACCAACCTGTTTTCGTAAGACCCATGAAACCATTTTTTTACACTTGAAACTTCACAGTAAAATACTGTGAAATATATATATATACATATATATAGGGTTGGGTTCACGTGAGACCAGCCTGTTTTCGTAAGACCCGTCAGACCACCTTTTTACACTTGAAACTTCACAGCAAAAACACTGTTAAGGTTAAAAAAAGTCGAACCTTCACAGCAAAAACACTGTGAAGGTTAAAAAAAGTCGAACCTTCACAGCAAAAACACTGTGAAGGTTAAAAAAAGTTACCTTCACAGCATTTTGCTGTGAAGTTTCAAGTGTAAAAAGATGGTCTCACGGGTCTCACGAAAACAGATTGGTCTCACATGATCCCAAGTCTATATATATATAGATGTGTATATATCAATACTCATTTATTAGCGGGATGAATGAGCTGAAATTTTATGCGGGAGAGAGAGAGAGCGCGCGCGAAGGGCATCATCAGAGAAAATTAAGGGCCGTGAGATGTGAGTGGTCATATGATGCTTTGAGGCATGTACGTAAAACAAAAATGATTGTACCTCTTAAAAATTCCAAGAAAAACCGAAAGTGCTTTATAAATAAATACAAAATTATCCTCACCAAGGCCAACAAATATTTACAAAAACAGACACACGATGATTCCTAGAGAAAATGAAGATGATACTTATGTATAAAAATGCATATAACTATGCATAAGAGTACAGGAAGGTAAGACAATGCAAACAAATTACTAGCTAATGCAATTCTTCACCATTAAGCCATTTAAGTGCAGGCAACAATTTAACCAAAAATAAAACAAACCTTTCATCCACAGCAGCATTGCCCATAATATCCAGCTGAATCAAATTTAGACCTCCAAAAATTGAGAAGGGTTCCCAGAAGTCCATCACTTTAGCATCACCATTTGCGAATTCTTCGAAGTTCTTATCGAAAGCAACCTTATGCGATAGAGGAGATGAGCACAGATATCTCTTTGTGTCCACAGTGTGTGCACCGATCTCGTTATGGGAGATATCCAATATTCTCAGTGACTTCAAGAATCTCAAAGGGTCTAAAGCCATGAAGCTGCCGAGTTTATTGTGACTAAGGTTTAAGCATGACAAAAGCTGCAAAGCCTCCAATCCTGTAAAGGAATCCCATAAAGGAATCCCATAAAGGCGTTAAAAATGACGTCGTGTTATATAGATGGATTTCAGTAGGAAATCAAAATTTTGTAGGAAGCATAGAAAGTACTTTGTTAGCGGACATTCACATGAATTAACATGTTAACATATGTTAACGTTTCATGCTAAGATATGTTAATGTATGTAAATATATTTCCATGTTAACATTTTTCTATAACCTTCCTACTTACCAAAATTTGATTTCCTAACTCTAACTCTAAATATACATATATTCAGATTATTTAATAGAAATTAGTGAAAAATAAAATAAGATATATTTGATATAAAAAATCCACAGTATTATCCACATCAGCACATAATACTTGGTTGTATTCCACGTCATTCGCCACATCAACATGGTAACGGATTAATGTTTAAATTGGTCATCATGTACTTAAATGTTTTGAGATTTTCCATCTTAGATACCAAAATGAAGGTTTTGAAAGTAAGTTACCCAAAATAGGAACCGGAATAAAGTATGTTATATTTTCACACAATTTGCCAATACACCTTTAGGTCCTATTCGTTTTGAGCATTTGGGTTCAATTCGTCATCTAGGCCATATAATGTTTTGACATTCTCAAGTTGTCTTCTATGGTGTGCAGACTGCAGAGAAACGGATTTTTATGATGGTCAATCACATTCATGTGATGTACTGATGTGAGAAAAACTTGGATGTACCTCACAAAGTGGAGAATGGATTGTGTATAGAATAGCATCCTCACACTTCCATTTCATGGGTTCATATGACATGAAGAAACAAAGATGTAATTGTTGTTTCAATTACTTGATGTGAGATGAGCAACTAAGGTAGAACATGACGGCCTTGGATATTTCCAAGGACATGAGCGTAATGAGCAACTAGGGTAGCAGATTAGATATGGGGGCATCTAACGAGCGTGCAGAAGGGAGTTGGAGAGGTTTTCAAAGGGGGGGGGGGGCGGCAGTTTAGTCTAGAGGCGTGTTTTTGGCCTTTTTCACTGTGTGGGCTTTCCTTTGCTTAACTTTATGTATGTTTTCAATGTACCTAATCATTACTATTTCTTACTTATTTTTCTAATGCTTCACTCACCAAATGCTAGTCTTTATTCTTTCTAACTGGCTGCTCACACTCTTGCACAAGCTACCTGGGGAGGGGGGTGTCTCGGCTGAAACAGTCGATCAACTCTTTTGTGTTAGAGGTCAGGTTTGCTAAGTCTCGACCCCTCCCCCCCCCCCCCAACTCGGCGGACACGACTCGACTTCTGAGTGGGATTTACTGAGTCAGTTTGTTTTGGTTACTTGATGTGAGAAGAACTACACACGAGAAACACAAAGTGGTAAGGGTGAATGGAAGAAAACTTTTAAACTGAGAAGAGCCATTTTCATTAGCACGAGTCATACCCAAACAGTTTATCTCAAAAGAGGAAAATAGCTTGCTTCTCCTCAAAAGTACACCAATTGAATCGATGGATATATGTAATCCACAAGCTTACAAAGGCCAAGTATATGTGAGAGAGGTCAAGCATGCATGTGAGTTGGAATGCAAAATATAAATGTTGTACCTTCTATAGAATGAAGCTGGTTATGGCTGAGATCAAGACTTTGCACCCACAACAACTGCTCAATGGATCCAATTCGCGACAATGATAGAGAATTCAATCTCAAACACGTAGGACCAGTGATATTCAAAGAAGTTGACTCTTTATATTGCCAGCAATATTTCAGCAAAGATTCCTTGCTAGAAGTCACCTGCAATATCACAGCTATCTGAGTGCAGACATGTAAAAATAGAACCTATACTCACAACTAGTTAGACCTCAGTGCTTACGCTTAAACCCGTTAATAGAAAACAAATGTTACTCCCCTACCAAAGAATATAATTAGCGAAGAAAACAATTACCTGCTTTAACAAAATCAAGCTGTATTCATCCTTGTAATATTGGTAATGTGGGGGGTCTAACTTCATCAATTCCGTTAATAGTTGCAAAACTTCCTCCGCAATACTTGGAGTAAACTGAGTGCCGGTTATCATGGCATCATAAGCCACCAATAATCTCGCAAGTGTAAGCTTCCCAATTTTACTATCAATCAAACACAAAAAAAAATTAAAAGCATTAAGAGGACAATCGGTGTGCAATGTGGAGCATGGAGATTCAGGATTAGAAAAGAAGAAGTCAAGCATACCACTCTGCCCATGATAATAATTCTCGGTATTGAGATATTTCGCTAGCTATTATCTCAGACTTCCATTTTGATGACGTCGGTTGCTCATCATCATTTGTGAACTGAAAAGCTGATTTAAGCAAGGCTGTCATGTTCAAATTTGTGTCAATTGTACAGAAATTTTCATCTGTCAATGACAACCTCCCTAAACTCTGTCCTTCAGCAGGTTGCAGATGCTGGCATACAGAAACAGTAAATGCAAAAGACCAGGGTCGGTTAAGCGAAACACCACTCAAAGAAGTTATGCCTTGGGAATGTTCAGAGCTAATTTTCACTTGATAGGTCTTTGATGAGTCAAGTTCCTCATGGGGTATTCTCATATGTGTCACCCAGGCTAGAGCACATCCAAATTTATTTGTTGAAAGTGGACTCCAAGTAATATTATCATGTATGTCATACTCAGTTTGAACGGTAATTGTTTGAGAGCTTACACCTTCAACAGGTTCATTAAAATAGAGAATGACAGGAAAGGTCGCTTTATTAGCATCTAGATCTATTGGTACATTAAGATCAGAACCAGGAGGAGGCCAGAACGAAGCTAAAATAGGCATGTCGAGTTTAATAGTTTGATCCAGAAGCCAGAGATGATAGAACCACCCACTTTGATCATCTGGGTCAGTGAAAACTGCATTGCGTACAAACTCATACTCCTCTGTTAAAAAGGTTTCCTTTGGAAAATATCCTTCGACCTTTTTCTCCAGCAGATGAGATAAGAGTACACTGTAGAAATCCATAAGTGAGCAGGCATCAAGAAATCATATAATATAGACAGAAAAGTTGGCTACAATTTCCATTCAAATGCATAGGAACGTCAGGTATAATTTTCGTTAAAATATATATAGAAAGATCTGGTATATTTTCCACTAAAATGTATTCAAAAATAAAAATCTTATTATAGCCTTAATAAAATGGAAGTGCACCTAATCAATATAGAGATGAGCTGCCCCATCGAAATATGTCATATGCTCCAATAAGACATGTTTCTAGTGGGAACAAAAATTTAAGGGTTTTAAAAAAAGTCAAGGGAAAGGTTACTCCTATGTGACTGAAAGATCACAGATTCGATTCAAGGAAACAACCTCTACGCATAATAAGAAAGGTTATCATGTCAACACCCAGATATGCTACCACAACTAAAGGTTCATATATCATGAAGTACAAGACAAAAGGGCACATTGAGGACAACATGCATTATGTCCAATTATAGTTAAATGGTTAGTTCATGGAGTAAGGAATAATTTGCAGAACAAATGCTAGACAAGTAATTACAAATTAGATGTATAGGTTCAGTCGGGTTTCATGCCTTCACTATTTACATTATTACTTCTCCGAGTATAGACCAATATGGAGCTGCATGATTAATGAATTTTCCATGTATTGCTGCTATTGCCAGTTCAATAACATCTTTTTGGGAACCTTCTCAATAGTTTAACTACCCTAATAGGTTTTTTCTTTAATGTACTTGGAAATATGGGCACTCTTCCATCTCTTGATGGAAATTCAAATATATGGAATCATTAATCTGCTAATTGTTTAAGAAAATGGTAATTGCCACGCGTTTCCTAACGAATCCATGAATGCACTAGAAAAAATAATCACTTTTCTAGTCAGAGCAGCATAATTATTTTATTTCACGAACCATATGGACTATTACAGTATTACTATCATTTCACTGCACAGATGCCCAAACATTTCTATATAAGCACATAACTGATGGTTCTTTTAACACCCCCTTAAACAATATGGTCATCTACACACATGCAAATTCAAAATAGATGGCCATACCTACGATTATGCCATGCAGAATAATTACTGAAGTTATCATTTATCATATCTGTTGTAAACTGTAGCTCCTTCTCCTCCGATATGCTCTTCATGCCTGCTATGAATCTAAATAAGGTATAATAAATAAGGTTCATGTAAATTACATAACTTCCTGATTAAATATATGACCAAATACAGGTCTTCACCTTCGGTAGTTCCATGCATGGAAATTGCGGGTGTCTTGCTTCTGGAACAGATTTAAAAGCCTCAATTCCCTCTCTGTTGAAGAATTTCCTTTGCTTACCACCCATTTACGGTGATGCCAAGCTCCGTACGACTTGAAATTCTTCCTTAATGCATTCTCTACCTACATATAAGGTCAAAATTTTATCTAGCAAGACCAATTTGAGGCATTTAAGACATTGATTAAAACTTCATAAAACCAAATGCTGGGAGAAGTGACACATCTCCAATTGAACAATCTTTTATGTTTTTCCACAAGGTAGTTTCCATCTTCAATATTCTTTAAGTCAAACAGACTTCATTCTTGCAAACAGTAATTGGCACAGTTGCTCACCTACTAAATGTGTAACCTCCTCCAATAGATAACAAGTACAAGCCACAAAAACTTTGGAAATTCTTTATTGCTCCTACCATTCAAGAAAAGCTACATTTGGAGTTTCTAAGTCCAAACCTCAGTACTTTTCAATTCAATTTGATCATTCTCTCCCATTTCCTATTTTCCTTTCCTGGGTCCATAAATAAGGATCGGAAACCCAAACTAAAACCATAAATTTAACGCAATGAAATGAACCAAACAAATAGACCCTATATGAAATGAACCAGAAACTTAAAGCCAGGTTTGCTGCAAATTTTGAAAAAAGTATTATAATTGTTGTAAATCTAACCAATTTAACACTCATAGCAGTTTCTAGGTTAAATATACCTCGTCTGATCACAGAGTTAAATGACCTCTTTTATTAGAAATTCGTATTAATGAAATGCAATAGGAAGTGTAAGGAAGCAATTGAATTAGAAATGTGAACAACATAGGAACTTACAACTCGCAATTCTTCATCGATGATTGATTTGATATGATCCGAATCTCCCTTTTCAGCCTCAGATTGACTACTGAGACTATGCTCAAATGCCAGTTTTCGATAATTCCAAGCGGTCATAAACTCAGGATTAACCTCGATAAGCTTCGCATTGATTTCAAGGGCTTCTTTAGTGTAACTACAACGACGAAGCCCAAAATATAAACACAGATCAATCGATGCATTTTGGATAAAAGAACACCACAAAAAAATGGATATTTGAGATACGATTTGTACATCTTGTTGTGATGATTTTGAAGAAATTGAGATTGAAGAGATCGAATCTTAGCAGCCTTGAGAGCTGATGCATTCTCGTCTACTGGTGTCGCAGATTTCCTCGGTCTTCCGTGCATGTTTCTCGCCGAGAGTGAGAGAGAGAGAGAGAGAGAGAGAGAGAGAGACGGCGTCATATGTCAAGAAATCCCAATTTAGACAGTGTAGACCAAAGTATTAAAACCACCAGATTCAGTCCCTGACTTTTCAATTTTGTTTCTTTTTGGACACTAAACAACATTATTTTTTTCATTTCGATGATTAAACCTTCTCAGTTTTCTTAGTACGTAGAGAAGACGAGCCAATTCAGCAAAAGGGTTCGCAAACACGAGCTAGGGATGGTGATTTGCTCCGACCCGGTAGGGAACCCGGCTCACCCGACCCGAACGGGGACGGGGATTCCCCACTAAAATGGGTCCCGGGGACGGGGATCCCCGATAGACTCAAACCAAGGACGGGGGATGTTACTCAAACCGGGGATGGGGTCGGGGATCCCCGGTAGAATCAAACTAAAGGATGTTATTTATAGGGTTTGACTGGGGATTGATTGGGTTTTGATAGGGGATTGCTAGAGATTTGACCGGGACGGGATGATAATCCCCGTGTCCGCTGGGGACCGGGGGATGTTACTACAAACCGGGGCCGGGGATTACAAAACTCGCCCCATCCCCGCCCCGTTGCCATGCCTAACACGAGCTAACTCTAACCAACTGCTTTAACTATTTGACTTGGTCGAGCCAAAAAAACATCTCCAACAAATATCTGGAAAAAGTAGAGATTCTTGGGATTTTTTTTGCTCAACAGATCTTTCAAAACTTTCTTCAATATCAAGTAAAATTTCCAAATTTAGATAACTCTCAGAAAATGATTGTTTAAAAGAGAAAATCATTCGTTTGCGCTGTGCCAAACCGCATAACCTGCTCGTGCCATACTAGACCGTCAGGTTTAGAACCTTCGCGATACAGTTTGTAGTTTATATTTTTTATTACTGCATTATGTAGTTTGGGTTGTAGTTTGTAAAAGTGCTCACACACATTTGGTCTGTTTTCATGTGGTTTCATACTCGCACTGTATACTTTACATTCTAAATTAAGCATCGATGAGTCCTTTTAGAACTCGTCAAGTTTTGCCTTTTTAGATTGAATACCAGATATATGATCGATATATACAACGTATTTACAAACTTGACAAGACCTTATGCAATAAATGAAAGCAATAAGACTTTCGTACTTTCTCTATCACTTTCTTTTGGTATAACCCTCTTTTGAATTCACCCATTTTATAACTTTATAATAGAAATTACCATTTTTACAGTATGCAATAATCATGAAATGCACAACTTTGGGTTCTTAGCAAGAAGCGATATAAAAACACACTGGAACCAAAATATGCATATTTAGAATGCATATCTTTTAAGCAAAACTCATGTTTTCGCATGTTGGCGAACAATGTATGAACATTCATATATATATATATATATATATATATATATACATGTATACATATACATGTACATGTATATGTATACATATACATATAATTAAATGATTATTTTTGTAGTCTCATTTAATAATGACCGTTTGTATATGTATACATATACATGTATATGTATATGTATATGTAGGGGCTGGTTCAAATACTAACCCAAACTATTGTGCAAACTATGCTAACCGATCTTGATCGTTCATTTTCTCATCAAACGGTCATTATTAAATGAGACTACAAAAATAATCATTTAATTAGTGCATTAAATGAAATGTCTATGAACAATTGTTCAAAAGGTAATTTTGTAAGAAAATCGCATCACATCGTGAACCTATATTATTCAGACAATTTCGTAACCTCCAATTAACTACGAAACTGCCAATCTATACGATCAATAGTGTATATCATTRSCVAAAAATCTGGTTCATAATATTCATCAAAACGATGGATGATTTTGGCGAAATGCATACAAGTTTGGATGTGTGAACCTAATGAACATCACACACACGCAACACACAACACTTCACAAATACATACAAGTTTGGATTTGTGAACCTAATGAACATCAACAATATGACATAAAACAGTAATGAATCCCAACGTCTACGTCTGTGTTATTTGTGTTGATTTGATATCTGTTAATATATGTGTGTTTGTGCACAAATGTCTTAATGCATCCTAGTATGAAAAAATGTAATCGCTATGTGTGTGATCAAGTAATATAGCACAGTGAACATAATGAACAACCCCTATACAAGCATGATATGATTTGTGCTATATGACATAAAACAGTAACAAAACTAAAACTATTATTACACATAGATAATTAAAAAGAGCAACAAGGATGTGAATTCACTGAAATTGAAAACTTAGTGAAAAATGTATATTGTTTGTCATCTCGAAGTCAAATCTTTAATGAACATAATGAACAGCCCCTATGTAGTTAGTCTTCAAAACTAAAACTATTATTACAAAAAGTAGATAATTAAATAGAGCAACAAGGATGTGGATTTACTAAAATTCAAAACTTAGTGAAGAATGTATAYTGTTTGTCATCCCGAACTCAAATCTTTAATGTAGGCGTGTTCACATTAGCATGTTCATAGCTATCGTATGTTCATATTGAGACACTTATTGATTATTTTCTTCACTTTTAGAATTCAAATTCCGAATGTATTCGCAGACGCTTTTAGCTTTTTCATTCTCATTGTCGTCGATCCGTTTTACTCTATGATTATCCATATTACTCGCACTATAACGAAATCTTTACAAAAGGGACTTTTTTCAAATTTACAATATCAAAACCATTATAGGAAGAATAAATGTAAAATTCAGTAAGATGAACACATGTGAAACTTAATGTCATTATTACATGAAGATCAATTAGTGATATTTTAAGATTTGTAACTCCCAATTAAAATATTTGGGAGTTACATAAGAATGATATATTACCTAAATACTCTTACAATTAATATGTGAGTTACATTTGAACCTAACTAAAAGATGGAACATGATTGGTTGATATTAGTTAGCATAGTTTGCACAATAATTTTGGTTAGTATTTGAACCAACCTCTGTATGTGTATATGTATATGTATATATATATATATATATATGCGAAAAATTGTGTGAGAAAGAGAGAGTTAAGGTGAAAAGCGTAAAAAAAGTTAATCTTAAACCCATCCATGAATCACGTTTGATAAAGGGATTGATTTAGTGCATCTCATCTCGATGTATCTTATCCTAATATGCATCCAATGGTAGATATCTCTTATTACGCTTCTCACCTTAACTCTCATTCTCACCGGAACCCAACCATATATATATACATACATACACACCAGGGACGGACCCATAAATTTTTTCAAACGGTGGCACCATATAATTAATATAGTATAATATACATCTAAAAATAATTACAAAAAATATGGTTTTTATAGTACCGATAGGGTTGTAAATGAACCGAACGTTCAGCGAAYCGTTCGTGAACCRTTCRGCGGGAAGTTCGTTTATGTTCGTTTATTTAATAAATGAACGAACATGAACTATTTTCTTTTGTTCGTTTAGTTAAACGAACGAACATGAACAAGAGTTTCGTTCGTTCATTTACCGTTCGTTTATATTCGTTTGTTTATGTTCGTTTATATATTAAGTTTAATATATTATCTTTTATTTATTTACTTTGAATTCAAATAATATTTATTTATGTTCGTTTAGCTCGTTCGTTTATGTTCGTCCGTTTACGTTCCTTTAGCATGTTTACGAACGAACATAAACGAATACGAACACACCTTATTTCTAAACGAACGAACACGAACACAAAGATTTTCGCTCGTTTACCATTCGTGTTCGTTCGTTTGTTCAGTTAAGTTAAACGAACGAACATGAACAAGCCTCCGTTCGTGTTCGTTCGGTTCGTTTACAGCCCTAAGTACCGATAAACAACTCCTAAACTTGTACCCGATGCGTCTTCATCTTTTGAAAACGGTCAATATATATGTGACATCCGTCACCAAACCAGGTTAGTCAACCGTAACTCGAAACCTAACGTTAGCCCTTTTAGTAAATTTATGTGCTCACATGCTTCCTGAAACATAAGGTGTGAAATTTTAGGAGTTGGGTGGGTTCATTTTTTTTCCCCTTAAATACTCTAGTCATTCTAATAGTAGAGGAAAGCTAACTGTTTATAATTCCTAAATTGAATTTCTTTTCCCGAGTACATAATTGGTCTATACAAATGTTTTATGTGCATTGTACCGGTGACTAAAAGCCTTAAGCAAAATGATTTGAGTTAATAATGTTAACTAGTTAGGTTGTTTAAAAAAACTAATATTATCAAAGGAGCTTATCATATAAAGAAATAAATCAACTAGTTTTAAATAAATTAAATAATATATATATATATATATATATATGTATAATTATCCATGGAATTTTAAAATTTAAATATAATAGTTAGTTGTGGATAATCTTCAAATCTTCTTTATCTCCTCCTAAACCCTAATTACTCTCATTTCTAAGAAAAATCAAAACACAACGTTCTCTCTCTTTTCTTCCTTTTGCTTGGTCAAGAATCATCATCACCATCAAGTTATTCAAAGCTTTGTTCTTGAAGCCTACAAGTGATATCTTAATCACAAATCGTTGAGTTGGTAAAAACCTTCACCTTGTTTGTCTTTCTATCATCTTCATGGTTTTCATTCGATTGTTAATGTAACTCTAATGGATGGAATATATATTTTTGATTAAAAACATTTAGATTTTATAAAAGAATAAGTTTTGATGAGTCTTGGTTAATAATAGAGTCCTTGGTGTGGTTGTTTTGTAAAAACAATGTCGCTTGATCCATTCCAGAATCTGGGCAGAAAATGTGTTGACTTGGAGAGGCCGTATCTCAGTCATAACATGGAGTTAGAATACGAATTTTGGGTCTAGGTTCAATTTCAATGAGTCTACTTTCTGTTCCAAGTGGTTTCGTGTCAAAACAACAATATTAACTTGGTCAAAAAGCCTTTATCGTTCAGGGTCGCAAAGCTGGAATTTTTGGGACAAAATCTAGGATGTTTTGGGTGCCTCATAACTCCCTCTTTTTTCG